GAATTATTTATCAGTGTTACTACACATGATCTGTTCCTAGCCCTCTTCTGCCAAGTGCTAAGACTTCCTGGTGCCTCAGGGTCCTGCGCAGTCTGGTTGCAGATTTCAGGTGAATTCATGGCCTTCCGGGGGCCCTGCCGGTATGGGGGAGGGGAAGAGGCAATGTGACTTCTTAAGCCCCCGGTCAAAGGAATAAGCTGAGAAACCTCTAACCTGGATGCCTGTGGGTTAAGCCCTCATTCGTATGGAAATACCTTTCCTGACACCCTCCCAGCTCAGTGCCAGCTCAGCACCACCACAAGCCACTTCCTCCCCTCCCCTGACAGGTGGCAGGGAGTCTCTGGCCAGCAAACAAAGGCCTTGCCTAAAAGGAGGCTTTCGTCTTTGGGGGTTCTCATCCAGCGACCTTTTTTCTTAAGGGCTTGTGACATCTTGTGCTATACTGGGTCCCTGACACTTGGACGTCAAATGTATCGTCAGCTCGGGGCTCAGAGACTGAATGGGTCCTGCGGGTGTCTGCGTGTATTGTTGTTGCCCTTCTTTCGGTGTTAGATGGTGTTTTCTTGGGAAAATGTGAATTATTTGCCAGTACTGAAAATTACGGAGTTTCACATTGGGCAGATTTCCAGCTCCTTTGGCAACCTCGGACATGCTGCCAGCAGTGGGGCAGCGGTTCCTCTTGGCAGTGACCACTGACCTCAGCGAGGGGGTCCTCCACAGCCCCCGCTCTGGCAGGCGGCAGGGTAACGTATTGTAATGACATTAATGTTTGCCTCTCTACACATCTCCTCATTGTAAGCAGCTCACCGGGCTTCGTGTCTCCTCACCCAAAGGACTGTGGTGGGGCAGAGGGCAAAGCAGCTTGAAGGGCGAACTGGTCTGTGCTAAAAACTTAAGGCCACCGAAGAGGTGACAGGGGGTCCTGGAGAGGGACGGGGATGACGGAGGGCCTTGGAGCAGTGGGGCGGCGAGAGGGCGAGCCCCCGCCTGGGAAGGGCAGAGAGGTCTCGGGGCTCCTCCAGGGCAGCCCGGCCGCCTCTCCACCAGCGCCTCCTGGAAGGGCTCACAGGGCGGCGAGGCCAGGAGGGCAGGGCTCGGGCCCCAGAGCCTCAGCCCCAGCAGAGACCCCATGTCCACGACGGGCAGGAAGCAGGACCTGCTGGGCTCCAAGGGATGTGCTGACATGACAACAGGTGTTACTCATGACTTCCCTCTTAAGCCTTGGGTGCTCATACACTCCGGGGAAGGTAGGGGCCCTCAACACGGACTGGGATGAGAAGGAAGGGCTGACACACGCTACAACGTGGATGGCCCTTGGAAACATGCTACGTGAAAGAAGCCAGTCACATAGGACCACATAGTGTGTGATTCCATTTACATGAACTGTGCAGAATAGGCAAATCCACAGAGAGAGGAGGTTGCGGGGGGCTGGAGGATGGGGCCTGGGGAGGGGATGCTTCGTGGGCTCTGGGTTTCTTTTTAGGGTGGTGAACATATTCTGGAGTTAGGTAGCGGTGATTGATGGTCGCACCACATTGTGAACCACGTTAAAAGACAGCGAATTATAGACTTTAAAAAAGTTCAAATGGTGACTTTAATGTTAAATAAATTTTATCGCAATCAAAACATTTTTAAGAACCTGAGATGGAATTTTCTGTCGCCCCAGTTGGGATGGTGAGCCAAAGTTAAAATTAAGTTGATTTAAAAGAAGAAAAAGAAATTTATTTTTCCCCTTTGAACGAATGCATTTCTATTACCTACCCAAGAAAGGGGGACTGAGCCAATATCATGAGACCCAGGGTCACGCAGGTTCACCTGGCATGGAGCCACTTAGGGTCAGGGGACCAGCAGTGTGTCAAAGGCTGTAAAAATGCTGCTGGGGGTTGGAGGGAAGGGCTGCGCCGGCCAGGGAGGGCTTGAGAGGCCCAGGCCTCTGCTTCTTACGCTGGGACAGCTCACCCAATTCTGATCAAGTACCTGTGGAGCCTCCTCCACAACATGGGACGTCAGGGTTCCCTGGGGAATTTGGGGTGTCCAGTGTGAGACCCGAAAGGATTTGATGGCAGAGGGTTTAGTTCCTGCCCTGCCCTTGTCAGATGAAACTGAGCACCCGGCCAGGTGGGCAGCACACACCTGCTTGCGCCTAGTGGTGCGGCGACCCGGCCTCGGCCACCCATGGCTCCAGAGCCCCGTGCCCTCTCAGAGCCGGGACAGGGGGTCTGGATGGGCTTTGCCTCAGGCATAAGGTCCACCACCGGGAACCTCTCTCGCAGAATGCAGGAGCCTCTCACAGGCCCCTCATTTAGGACCCTAGCTGCCGCCGACTTCGCTTGGATTTCACCACAGCAGACCCTGACACGGGGATTTGAGTGCAAGGAGTTCATTCGAGACGGGATCCCCTGAAGCTTTCTTGGGGAGCAGGGAAGCCACTAAGGGCATGTGGGGACTCTGGGAGGCCTACTCCTCACGTCTGATCAGGTCCTGAGCGCTGCTGCTTGGCCACTGGGATGCTGCTGAGGCCGGGGCTTTAGTACTGTGCCGTCGTCACCGTTTATCTCCGCCATGTAATATAACAGCTTCCTCACTGCTCTTGCTGCTCCCAAGCTGCCTGGCGCCTGGTACCCAGGGTGCTGTTCCCGAAGCCTGCTCCGATCATGGCTGTCCCTGCGCGGATGTCTTCAATGCTGCCGCGTGCCAGCGTGACCGCATCGGAAGCTCTGGGCCTCGCGTTCCAGGCAGGCGCTGCGCTGGGAGCAGGGGATAGAGCGGCGCCCGCCCCCACGCGGATGACTGTCTGGCTGGGGAGGCAAGAAGCGGCAACGGGGTGTGGTGAGGTCCATGGTCAGAAAGGGACAGCGTGTCCTAGGAGCCCAAAGGAGAGGCGCCAGGCACCGTCTGGAGTGACAGGAAACTTTTGATGGAGACACTGTTCGTCGAGCATGGGGTCCGCACTCCTTTTTTTGCGAACAGATCTCCTGCACCCTGGGGAGTGGCAACGGCCGCAGCTAAACATGACCACACTCCCCAGACTTCCTGGCAGATAGATGTGACGAGTGAGCGATAAGTGAAAGTCCCTGGGTTTCCAGAAGAGCTCTCTAAAGGCGCCTGGTCCAACAACAGACATGCCCTCCCCCTTTTTGTTCTTCCTCCTTCCAGCATTCTGGCACCTGATGCGATGGCTGGAACTACAGTGGCCATGTTGTGACTATGAGGGAATCTTGACGATGGATGTACATGCCAAGGATGATGAGCAGAAAGAGAGGAGGAGGCTGGGTCTGTGAAGACCTTGAAGCTCTCAATCCGGTCCTGGACCGGTCACCTGCAGACTTCTGTTATGAGAGAAAAAATAAATGTCTTTCTACTTTAAGCCACTGTTATTGGGTTTTCTCTTATCGTTTGCTGACCCTAATGTGAATGAATGCAGTATCTGAAGCATTAGCAGAAGTGAGACAGGCAAACGAGTATGGCGAGGGGGTGGTGGAGAAGGGGTAAAAAGGCCAAGGAGGAGACGCATTTCAGGCAGAGGGAAGAGAATTGTCAAAGGCCTGCAGGTGAAAATGCTGGACCTAACCCACCGGCAGAGGGAGCCCTGAGTGGTGAGGTTTTCACTTTAAGGAAGGTCCCTCTGGTGCCCGGACAGAGGGGCTGAGTTTGAGGGAAGATGAGCTGATGGGGCGTTAGGAGGCCGCCACGGTGGTCAGACGAGGTGAAATTGGTTCACACTGGCCGGTGGCTGTAGGAACAGAGAGAAATGGGCAGACCCAGAGTTGAAAAAGGGAATTCCTGAGCGCGGGTGGGTGGTTTGGGTGTGGGGGGAGAGAGCAGGAGAGCTGAGGGTGAGCCCCAGCTGAGACAGGGACGGGCGCGCGGTTCAGGGCCGGCGGCCGGAGCCCGAGGTGACGCGGCTCAGCCGGGCACAGGGGCAGGCCGGGGAGGCCGTCGAAGGAGCCCTGGTCCGGGAGTCAGAAAGCGGCCGGTTGCGCACTTGACGGTGCCGCCTTCAGAAATGCCTCTTTGACTCTGATTCCCACCTAAACTGGGGCTGCTGTCAGCGAGTATATGGAAGTTCCTCCCTGCCCGGTGTGGCTCCGTGGGTTGGGTGTCCTCTGCAAAGCGAAGGGTGGCCAGTTTGACTCCCAGTCGGGACACGCACCTGGGTTGTGGGTTTGGACCGTCGGGGCGCGTGCGAGAGGCAACCGATGGATGTTTCTCTCTTTCTCCCTCCCTCCCCTCCTTAAACAAACTAACAAAACCAAAACAAAACAAAAAACACCCACCAAACAAACAAAAAACCCAACTCCCTGACGTCAGTAAGCGCGCAGTCAACGTTAATTGAATCTGAAATGTTGCGCCTCCCGTCCCCTCCCAGCCCCGCCCCCGCCCCGCCCCCGCCCCGCCCCCGGCGCTGTCCGCGCTCAAGGCTTCTGTCCTTTCATCTGTCAAAGTCTGGGCCCAGGCAAAGCTCCCCGGGCAGCCGGGAGGAAAGCCCCTTGTCTTCCCGAGCCTCACTGCGTCGCCACCCCCCGCCCCTCACCCCGCAAACTTTCGTTCCTTTTTAACTGAGACGAACAGGAGGCTGGGAGGTGGAGCTGCCATAGAAGCCAGGTGCCCTGGGTTCAGGCTCGGGCTCTTGGCGCCGCAGCCTCTGGTGGGGCCGGGGACTGCGAGGTGTCGCTGCGCCTCGGCGCCTCCCCCTCCCTGCCCCACCCTCACCCTCCCCGCTCCCGCGCGCCTCCCGGCTCCTCCCCGCGCCTCCCGGCCCGCGTGTGCGCCTGGGCTGCGGCGCGGCAGGGCAGGCGCGGCGCGCGAGGCGGCGGCGACCGGGCGCAGCGGGTCGGGAGCGGGGACCCGGGCGCAGCCCCGGCCTGCGCGACCGCGGCCCTCGCCCACCGGAGGCCGGCCTGGGGGGCCCGCAGGGCACGCAGAGCGCCGAGTGCGCGTCGGGCTGGGCCCCGCATCCCGGCGCAGGAGCGCGGGCGCGGCGCGGCGGAGCGCCGGGCATGGAGCCGGCCCGGGAGCCCCCAGCGCGGACCCGGCCGCCGCCGCCCCCCGCCGCCCGCCCCGCACCTGCCCCCGCAGCGCCCAGGCCGCGCTCCCCCGCGGAAGCGGAGGCCCGAGGCCCGGAGGGGCTGCTGCGGCGATCGGGCTCCGGCTACGAGGGCAGCACCAGCTGGAAGGCGGCCCTGGAGGGTAAGAGGTGGAGCGGCCCTTCATCCCCTGGGCCTGGGACCGGGGAGGCGGATCAGAGTCACCTTGGCCGGTTTCCCGGAGGGAACAGCGGGGAGCGCGACACTGGAATCCGGAGGATTGATTTCAGGGCAATTAGGTGACACCTTGGGAGAGGAGAGGGACGTAACTGGGGACCAGCTATAGTTAGTTCCAGCCTGACCCCGTCCCTGCAGCTAATTCACTCTGTGACCTTGGGAGCAGGTTCCCTACTCTGAGCCTCAGTTTCCTCATGAGTGAAGGGGGACAGTTACTGTCAGACACTCACCTGATGGGCACGTTGAGGGAGTGGCTTGACTCTGTGGTAGTGGAAATGCTTTAGGCAGAATGACAAAAGCTGTACACCCCAGAGATGTTGCCAGGGTCCAGTGAGAAGGGGGTGGGGGCGCCGGGTGGTGAGGGGGCCACTTCAGGGCACGGCGGCAGCGGGGAATAGTGGGAGACTCTGTGCAACGTGAGGGGTCCCTCTGCCTCTTCCAGTCACAGCAGTGACCCCTGGCCGGCCAAAGGAGCAGCAAACAAAGTGGGAAATAGATTTCAAGTCCAAGAGTTGTTTTGGAAACTTGCGTGGGCCCTTGGTGGTGTGTGGTGTGGGAGATGCTGGAGTTGGCGGGACAGAAGGCCAGTGGCTGGCCGCTTCTCGGTACTGCCGACCCCCGGGTCCAAAGGCCAAGGATGTGGCCAGAGATTCCCAGGGAAGCCCAGAGTCTGCATCACCCAACCCTAGGGCTGGTGTATCAGAAAAAGAGGGCTTCCTGGAGTAGGTGACCTCTTAGGATACTTGGAGAGAAGGAAGGGTGCATAAGGCTCAAGGACTGACATGTTCAGGGGCCAAGTGGCCAGAGCCAGCCCGTCCCTTGTGGGGACTGAACTCCAGACCACCAGGGTGGGGGGCGGGTGGAGAGTCTGGAGGGCCGCCCAGGCCTTGCCGGAGAGTTTCGACTTTGTCTGAAGGAGCCACTGAGAGATTTAAAGCATCAGATGAGACAGGGGGTTTGTCCTTGGGAAAATGGTGGTGTCACAGAGGGGTCAGACCCGGCCAGGTCCATGAGGAAGACAGGGCTGTGGTTGGGGAGGGACATAACCAGCACCTGGCGGGGCAGGCGCCTTATGGAGAAGGGAGAGGTGGGGACTGTCATGTCAGGATTAGGCCGGAAGGCTGGGGGCAGGAGGTGCGGGCTGCCTGAGGAGGACTATGCGGACTCTGGGGGGGGAGTCAGACGCCTGGGTGGTGTTTTGGGACAAAAGAGGCAAAGACGTGGGGTCTTGGAGCAGAGAGCCTGCAGAGCAGCCTCGGGCTGAGAGGAGCTGAGGAATGTGGGTGGACAAACCCTTCTCTCTGATGGGCTTCTCTCCAGGGGTATTGCTGGATTTGTCTGTGGCCCGCTTCCCTCCTGCCATTGCCTGAGGCTGCTCCCTCCCTTCGCCTGTGCTTCTTCATTTGTTCATTTGTAGGGTTTCTGCAGAGTCTTCACTAAGCTAACCCTAAGCCCCCCCCCCGGGAAGGGCCACTTCAGGGTGGTGTGGCCTCTTTCAGTGCCTCCGGCTTCCTTCTGCTCCCTTCTCCCAACCGTGGCTGGGCCGACCACCTGTGAGCGAGGCGGGAAGTGGCCCAGGGTCTCTCTTGGGACACTGGGTCTTCCAGCCCCTGCGAAGCCCCTCCCTGTCCTTTGTTGCCCAGCCGCCCTCGCCCTCGGTGTCCTGGTCTGGCTCCCCTGTGGGCCTGTCTCAGAGTCGCGTGCTCCCTCTGGCACTGCCTCCAGCCGGTCCACCTGGCATCGGCGCCGCCCTTGAGGTCTGAGGTCCTTGGGGGCTCAGCATCTGCGGCCTGTGGGCTTTTTCCACAGGTGATTTAGGGTCTTTGGTCTGAGTCCCTGTGAGGGGACTCCTCTCTGCCAGTCCCCTGAAGGCCTTTTTTTACATTTATGATTTTACTTACTTATTTTTAGAGAGAGAGAGGAAGGGAGACAGAAAGAGAGGGAGAGGAACATTGATGTGTGAGAGAAGCTTCCATCGGTAGCCTCTCGTATGCCCCTGACCAGGAACCTGGCCCGCAACCCAGGCATGTGCCCTGACTGGGAATTGAACCGGTGACCTTCTGGTTGGCAGGATGATGCCCCACCCAGTGAGCCATACCAGCCAGGGCTTGAGGGCCTTCTGGGTGTTCCCTGGGTGCCCCCATCCCGTCAGAAGAGGGGAGCTGGTAGACTGGGAAGGGCTGGCCTTGGTGCTGCCGCCCCGCATCCGTTCATGCTTCCTCTCCTTGCACAGGCATTGGTGGGGGGCCCACGCTATCCAGGCACAGCTCTGGGCATTGGGAACATCCCTCCCCTTGAACGATCACAGGACAGGGGCTGAGGCCCCTGGTGAGGTGCACAGAGTCTGGAGTCGGGTAAACCCAAGCCACGGGTCACTAGGTTTTGACCTTGTTTGAGCCTTGGTTTCCTTGTCTGCCAAGCCAGGGAATAATCCTTGCTTCTTAGGGCTACGCGGACTGGTGCTGGGGTGTGGGCTGTGCGCAGGTGACTCGGCCCCGGCTCCCTAGGCGTGGCCCCCGGCAGCCCCCCTGGGGGAGCTCAGTGGAAATCCTTTGGCTGCTGGCCTGCCTGCCTTGGGTCCACTCCCCACCCCCCAAACTGGAGTCCATGCACCAGGCGCAGCCCATGGACGCTGAGAACACCCATGACGCATGAGGGGTCGGCCACTTCTGAGGGCCAAGGGTGTCGCAGCCTCCACTTAGCCAAGCACATCTGGAGAGAAACAGGAGACTTCCTGTCCTGGCCTCGCGGAACATGCAGGGGGCCTGTGCTCCTTCGTCACCACAGGCTGAACATTTATCGAGCACCTACTAAGTGCCGGGCCCCACGCTGGGGGCTCTCATGACCGCAGTCTCCTTTTACCCTCACATCTCCCCTTGCAGGGAGCTGGTGAGTGTCATCTCGTTTATGGAGGAGGAAACTGAGACTCAGAGAGGCCCAGTGTCTTGCCCGAGGACACACAGGAAGCCCCCTGTGGCGTTTGCCCCCGGGCCTCTGACACAGTGAAAGCTCTCACACTGTCCCACGTGGACCGAGGACCCCGGGTCTGCTGAGGCAAATTGGACGGAATCAAATTGCTTCGGACGCAGGTCGTTCTCCTCGTGCTCCGCGGACGAGGCCGCGGCCTCCAGCGCAGACAGGTTAAGCGAAATGCTTCAGGCAGAGGGCTGGGAATGGAGCCCAGGTGTTGAACACTCTCTTTAGATCGACACTTAGCTTTATAAATAGAAAACCATTCAGAGCTGCTCCTTGATCAAGTCTTCTCTCCCGGTGGGTATTAACCTTTCCTTCCACCCCAGCCTCGGGGGAGAGGCGGAAAGGTGACCCAGAGCTCCCACCTGGATTCTGGGAAGACTGGCGCTGATCTGACGGGGGTGTTTCTGGCATTGGCGGAGTGGGTGGGGGAGGGGGTGGGTGGGGGGTGGGGGGGAACGGGGAGGTGGCCTAGGGGCACAGGAGGGGGAGAGGATGATTCTGCACATCTCAGGCTATAGATTTTTTGGTGCTCACTGATTCTGAATTTTTAATGTTGAAAGTTCCTTGATTAGGCAGAAACCCACAAGTTCCTGATCAAAACCACATGCGTGCATTTAGCAAAGATCTTAAAAACTGAAAAATCACCAAGCCCTGCATCGGACAGTCTTGAACAGTCAGGATTATGCTCGCCAGGCCGCGGCCCTGACGGCTCCGACGTCTGTTGTGATGGTGCTGTGTGTCTGGCAGTGACGGGAGCCCCCTCCTCTCTCAGCTGTTCCTTCTAACGTGACACCAAGTCCCTTCCATTCATGAACACAAATAACTGCACCCTAATACAGGCCATTGCATAGAAGGAGGGATCGCTGAGTTAGACACTTGCTTAGGGCAGGATCGCGTCCCCCTCGAAGAGATACGCTGAAGTCCTAATCCCCCAGAAACCTCAGAATGTGGCTTTCTTTGGAAACAGGGGCATTGCAGCTGTAATTAGTTAAGAAGGGGGTGTACTGGAGTAGCGTGGTCTCCCCATCCCATGCGACCGGTGTCCTTATAAGAAGACAGTCACATGAAGATGGGAAGGCCCTGTGACCATGAAGGCAGAGATGGGAGGGACCCATCTAGAAGCCAAGGAGCACCAGAGATCCCCAGAAGCGTGGATGGAGCAAGGAAGGGCTCCCAGCAGGCTTCAGAGGGAGGCTGGCCCCGCCAACAGCCTGGCCTGCAGGACTGTGAGAGCAATACATTTCTGGTGTTTTCAGCCACATCAACTGTAGGAAATGAATACAACACAGATTTGGACGGCCCACCCCACAGCTGTCCTGGGTGAGGGCAGAGCGCGAGCAGTGACTTGGGCTCCCTAGCATGTCCTCTCTGTGTCCCCAGTGTAGCGTCGAGAGCAGCTGTCCCCATGAGAGAAGGAAGAGGCTCCTCGGTTCTGGTGACGTTGGAGACACACCCACGCACGGACGCCCCTTTCCCCGGAGAGTGGGTGTGCCTGCGTGCCCTTTCCTCCAAATACTGGAGTTTAAGGCTGGCCAAGGACATTGTCATTTAGTGTAGCTAGGTTCCCCTGTGTTTTTAGTGCCAGTGGGTGTTCTGTGACATGCAAGGCAGTGGCTTAACCCTAGTCCGGGGACTCTAAAGAGGAGTAGAGCACAGCTCTTACCCTAAAGGAGCTGTGGGCTTATTACCATCATCATCCTCGTAGCTTTTAACACTGGAGTGGAGCTTCCATATCAGACACTGTTCTAAGTACCATACATTGAATTCTCATGGAATCCTAAGTGGCAGATACTACTTTTAGTTCATTCTGAAGATAAGGAAAATGAAATAAAACAGAAGCTAAGTAACTTTGCCACGTTACTAAATCACCTAGAAAGTGGCAGAGCTGGGATTCAAACCCTGGGGGAGGTGCGTTAAGATACCATGCTCTCCTCTCCAAGCGCAAAGGGCTACGGAGCCAGTGTTCCAGAGTAGGACGCAGGGGCGTGGAAGGGAAGGAAAGGCAGGATGCGTGTGCAGCCCGCTGACTACAGGCGGCCGGCCTGCAGCTCACGGGGGATCCGCCCCACAGCAAACGGCCAGTGGGGACACCAGGCAGACACAGAAAGAGCCCAGCCCTCAAGAGGGGTGAGCCCTCACTGTCGCTGAAGCTGGGGCCACCTGCCTCTGGACTCCCAGTCACCTGCCAGCGTCAACCCCGCTTATAGGTAGGATTCCAGGTGCAGGTGGCAGACTGAACGCTCATGTTTATTCTCTTTCCCTCTGATGCCCACTAATACATCACTAAAGGAATTTTTAAAAGGCGACAAGGACCAAAAGAACAGGAAAGGCGACAACAGCAATAGAATGGGAAGCTAGGGAGGAAATAATGAGCAGTAACTGACTCCACCAGCAGAGGGCCCACCTGAGCAACACAGGGAGGGGGCGCCAGGTCAGCAGGGCCGCTGAGAAGAGAAGGACTTTGTTAAACTTTCCTTTAGGAAGATTGAGACCCCCAGGTCCTCGTCCCTTTCTGTACGGCTTCTCCCCAGCCCCCGCAGGAGCCTGAGGCTAGGACCCTGGAGACAGGGTCTCTATACACCAACACATTAGAGAACAAACCATTAAGGAGACATTTACACATCAAATGCCAAGCAAGACTGGGGCCTTCCAGTCGCTTCTCCTGGCCAAGCATCTCCAGGAGAGAAAACAGTCCTCCAGGAACTCTGATCCCCCTGCCCCAAGAGAAAAAGATCCAAGGAGGTCATCAGCCAGAGAGCCTGGAGGGTCAGCCCAGCTGGATCAGTCCGCTGTGACCGCCCCCGTCACACAGTAAGCCCCGCCCATGGTCCCACAGACACCAGTGAACGCGCAGTCCTGCTGCCTTGATCAGGATCAGATAACCAAGGCTCCCCACGCATCCCGGGGAAGTCTCTACTGCGGAGAAAAAGCAAGTTGGAGGGTACAGAGACTATACAGGGAGAAAGAAACTTTCTGCCGTGCCCCCCACTCCGTAAACCCTATCAGTAATACCCTCAGACAGATGGTATTACTGATGGGAGGAAGGATGGCGTTATTGACATAAGAACAGGCCCTGGCTGGTGTGGCTCGGCAGATTGAGTGCCGGCCTGCGAACTGAAGGGTCGCTGGTTGGATTCCCAGTCAGGGCACGTGCCTGTGTTGCGGGCCAGGTCCCCAGTCGGGAGTGTGCAAGAGACAACCGATCGACGTATCTTTTACACATCGATGTTTCTCTCCCTCCCCTCTCTAAAAATAAGATCTTAAAAAAAAAAATAAAGAACAGGATGCTTTAAGGGGGAATATTCAGAGAACAGCAGCCACAAAGTAAAAAATAACCTTGGAGATTAAAATAATCGTGGAAATGAAAAATTCATGTCCTGGCTGGTGGGGCTTAGTGGGTTGAGCACTGGCCTGCGATCCAAAGGGTCGTGGGTACGATTCCCAGTCAGGGCACACGCCTGGGTCCCAAGTGGGGGGCGTGCGAGAGGCAACCACACATTGATGCTTCTCTCCCTCCCTTCCCTTCTGTCTAAAAATAAATAAAACATTAAAAAGAAAAAGAAAAATTCAACAGAAGGTTAGGAAGATAAAGTTGAAAAAGATCTTCCAGGGAAATAGAGCAAGAAGACAAAGAGGTATTTGATAAGGGAGAAAGAGGGAGGGAGAAAACAAAAAATTAAATAAACGGGGAGGACCGATCAAAGAGGTCCCACGTTCCCCTATCCTTTGTAAAGTACAATACAAATAAGTTACTAGAAACATGATCATGCACTTAGACATCACGGCATGTTAAATTGCTGTGGAAATGTCTAGATACTTCCTCTCAGTTTGGGTGCTCATTCATCATGGAAGGAAGAACTGTACAGGCCAGCACTGGTCTGTGGAGGTGCTGCTTCTACCTATTTTCATGCATAACTTTGGTTTTAAAAAAAGACTTAAAAAAGGCTAGGCTGGCTGTAATAAAAAATAATGGAACCTAAAAAGTGTTGGTGAGGTGGTGGAGAAATTAGAACACTGTGCATTGGTGTTGCTGCTGGAGTGTAAAATGGCGCAGCCACTGTGGAAGCAGCGTGGCGGTTCCTCAGGCGGTTAGACGTACAATTACAGTGTGATCCAGCAATTCCACGCCCAGGTATTGACCCAAAGGAACTGAAAACAGCCCTGGCTGGTGAGGCTCAAGAGGGTTAGGCATCGCCCTGCAAACCAAAAGGTCGCTGATTCCATTCCCAGTCAGGGCATGTGCCGGGGTTGCAGGCGCGGTCCCCGGGTGGGGGCGCGCGATTGCCTCTCCATGTTTCTCTCCCTCTCTTCCTCCCTCCTTTTTTCTCTCTCCAAAAATAAGTAAATAAAATCTTTTTTTTAAAAAAAGCTGAAAACAGGGACTCTAACAGGTACTTGTATCCAATGTTCACTGCAGCATTGTTCACAACACCAAAAAGTGGAAACCACCCAAGTGTCAACCAAGAGATGAATGGATAAACAAAGTGTATGTATTCATAGAAGAGAGTATTTTTCAGCCATTAAAAGGAAATGAAATTCTGATACATGCTACAACATGGATGAAGCTTGAAAACATGTTAAGTGAAACAAGTCAGACATGAAAGGACAAATATTGTATGTTTCCACTTATATGAAATCTCGAGAATAGGCAAACTCATAGAGATGGAAAGTAGGCTAGAGGTGACCAGGCGCTGGGGTGGGGGGTGGGTGGAAATGAGGGGTTAATGCTCAGTAGGCACTGAGTTTCTGTTTGGGGTGATGAAAAAGTTTTGCAAATGGACAGAGGGGATGGTTACACAATATTGTGTATGTGATTAATGCCACTCATTGTACATTTGAGAATGGTTAAAGTGGCCATTTTTATGTTAGAAGACTTCAAAAGACCCGATGTCTAAAGTCTAAAATGGTTCTTTCACTAAATATCAAATAAAAATTTTAAGTGATAAAAAAATAAAAATCTTAAGGAAGGGAAAAGCCAAAGGATCAGGAAAGGTGGGCAGATTTCAAGAGGTAGCAGGGGAGGAGCAGAGCTGTGGGAGGAGAGACCCCGCCGCGGGGCTGGGAGGGTGGGCTGGGTGCTTTCCAGGAGTCCGCGCCGCTGAAGCAGGACCAGGTGGAGAAGTAGGAGATGAGTGGCTTCAGCCCTGCCCGCCACAGAGGGCGCTCAAGTGCTTAGCCCGGAGGGAAGACTATCCTGCAGGGGAATCTGAGAGTCAGGGAGGGGCCCTGGAACCGCGAGTCTCCGACCTGCGGGCCAGGCAGGTCTCCAGTAGGGGGCGCACGAGAGGCAACCACGCATTGACGTGTAGCTTCCTCTCTTCCCTTTAAATAAATAAACAAAAAAAAAAATTTTTTTTAAAAGAAAGAAAAAGAAAAAGAATCACCTGGAGCACTTGGTACAACACAGGTGGCTGGCCCCACCCCCAGAGCTTCTCGCTATTGGGACGCTATTGGGACACAGGGCTGGCTGTGGCGCGTGGAGGTGGGTGGGTGCCTCGGAACTGAACCCTTTCTCTTCTCTTCAGACACCACTACCCGTCTCCTGCTGGGGGCCATCGCTGTGCTTCTGTTCGCCATCCTGGTGGTGATGAGCATCTTGGGTGAGCGTGGACATGAGCGCATTTATGCGATTCAGTATATACCACCTTGTCAGAAGCTTTTCCAATTAAGCCAAGAAAAGTTCCAGCTGCACCACGAATTCTGGGGGGGAGGGGGTCGACACAAAGTAAACAGAACACTGAGTAGGAATTCTAGAGGCGATTTTAGCTTAAAACAGCCTTTCCCTACACTGGCTCTACAAGTCCCCTTGACTGGGCCACAGAGGGAAAGTGGAGGTGGGACTTTAGTCCTCGTCCGTCCATAGATGCCATCAGAACTCAGAACAAGCTGGAGATGGGTTAGGCGGGCCAGGCTCCTTGGCAGAGATGAGTCTGGGAGAAGGGCCTTTAACGATCACATTCCTTCGCTGAACGAACGTTCTTTGAGCCCTGCTGCGTGCTAGACCCTGGGCTAAGTGCTAAGGTTAAAGAAAAAAAAAAATAGATGGGCGTGTCATCTCCCTCCTGCAGAGACGGAGGTGATGGGGGGGGGTGCTTCCCAGGGGGGAAACACAGGGGCCAGACCCTGAAGAACAATAGGGGCTTCCTGGAGACCAGAACAGTCTGAGGGCGGGGCCGAGCAACCAGGAACGCTGTGAGGGACAGGAGGGGGGTGAATATGGGGGAGCACTACCACCAAGGACAGTCACCAGGGAACCTGGCTGCTTTTAACAGATTCAAGGCCAAGGATGTCGTGGGATCTGATGGGTTAGCAAAGTGATTCCAGCACCTGTCTCCCATCTTTGAGAAGCCCCCTAAGACCAGAGGGGGGCACCTCCAAATGGGCAAAAAGTGCACCAATAGTATCGGTCCCCACCAAACCATCACCTACAGGGCGTGCATGACAAGCAGGGGTTTGTGAGTTGAGAAAGCCTGGTGACTGCAGGCGCCAGCTTGGGTTCACGTTGAGTAACTATGATAAATTAAATCGGTTTCCTTTGGGCTTGTTGCTAAGTGGGAGGTCAGAGCAGTGTGTGAAGGCAGCAGACTGTGATTTCAGTAAAGGGCAACAGTCTCCTCCGAGATCCTTGCGGAAAAGCAGTCCAAGTGGAGCCACACCATGGCTGACACTCCCATGTGGACCTGCAGCTCACTGAATAGATATGCCGAGTGTCATATCTGATTGATTGGTGTCGGCGTGGCTGGAGGTCCCTGGGGGCTGGACTACCATGGGCCTGTTCTCGGCTCTGCCCTGGTCTACATTTAATCAATCACGTGTATGAAAACAAACAAAAAAATACACTTATAGAATTTGTAGGTGATAAAATCCACAGAGGGATGCTGAATGTGACAGATGAAAAAAAAAAAAATCAAGATTAAAATCTCTTAAAGATGAGCCAACCTCATCTTTAAGGGAATGAGATAAGTGTGGAAGAAATTAATGTAAGATCCTTCATTTGGATTTGAAAAATGGTTTATACATGTTCTGGCCACTGGGGAGACCTGGCTTGGAGAGAGAGCGTATGAAAACAACGGGAGAGTATGGCTTAATTCCTTTTGGCAAGGGGGCCCTTTGAGAATCTGGGCCTCCTTCCCAGAAAAGTGCACGTCTGCACATACTCACGGATTCTTCTCTCTGAAGCAGCCTGCAGGCCGGAAGGCCCGTAGCAACCGGAAGGCAGCGTGGTGATCCCTGTGGCCGGTGGTGGGACCCATCCGAGGTTCCAGCCTGACGCGGGGGCAGCATTTTAGTGATGATGCGGCACCTTGCCGGGAGCCACCCCCAGCAGAGAGAGGCCTGCAGAGCAGCCCCTGTTAGAATCGTGGGAGAGGCCGTGGCTAGGCCCGGATAAGGGGAGGCTGGCGTCCTTCTTCCAGCGGGCGCTAGCAGGCAGACTGGGTTTGCTCTGGGCCACTCCAGAGGCAGATCCCAGAGCAGCAGGACTAGGTCGCAGGAAGGCAGGTTGGGCCGCAGAACTGAAAAGGAACTTCGAGCAGTTCACCGGTGGGATGGGCAGCCTTGTTAGCTGCTGGGGGACCCTTTGAGCCTGCAGATGGTTCCCGTTCTGGCTGGAGAGAGAGGACATGCCACGCGGCCTCCAAGTCCCTTCCAGATCTTTCTGGGGTTCCATGCCTCAAAGAGTGCAGAGAGAAAGAGAGGAGACCTTAACCCAGGAGCTAGCTTGTCACGTCCCCTCAGGTGCCCCAGCAAGCCTCCCACATTCCCCTTCCAGATGCCTTTCCTCACCCACCTTTCTTCTGCCTGCCAGGCACTCACCTGAGGAGATGTCACACGAACCGTGTCAATGACGGGCACCCAAGTCAGGGCAGGCGGAGGGAGTCATGGGGGGCCGAGCGGGGTTCCTCAGGAGCCAGGCGCCCTCAGATGCCAAGCGCCCCTCTCTCCCTTGCAGCTTCCAAGGGCTGCATCAAGTGCGAAGCGCCCTGCCCGGAGGACTGGCTGCTCTACGGGAGGAAGTGCTACTTCTTCTCCGAGGAACCACGAGACTGGAACACAGGCAGGCAGTACTGCCACACCCACGAGGCCGCGCTGGCTGTGATTCAGAGCCAGAAGGAGCTGGTGAGAGCCACGCCCCTAGGACTCGGTGTCCCGGCCACCACACGGCCTGGCGTGTACAGGGGGGCCCATCGGGGTCTGGCCTGTGTCAAGGCCAACTAGGCCTGGCCAGGCTGGGATGCTGAGCTCAGCTTGGTACTGTCACATGTAAGAATTACCAGTGACCAATGCACTTGTGATATGGAAAATCACAGTGGCATCTTCTGCCAGCCCCAATCAGGACACGAGCGTCCCTGTACCATCCAGGACCGTGTTCTCTGTGGAAATGTGAAAGAAACCCAGCCGGGGAGTTTGTCGGCAGTTTGGGAGTTTGAGGGTTACGAGGGTGTGGCAAGGCGCAATAGCGGATCATCGCATAATCACTTCTGTTTGCCTCTGGTACACGGTGTAACTGTCCCCTTCTTTAGAGAAAGGCGCAGAAGTGTATGTAGGTAGAGGGACAATCAGCCTCCACCTTGAGGTTTGTCCCGCGAAGCCTACTGAGGGGGCAAGCGCAGGCTTCCTGAGAATCGGGGAGGCTGGCACTTGGGCTCAGGGCCAGGGCCAGGGCCACAGACCTTGTGCCAGGTTTTCTGGCCCCACGGCCTGCTCCCAGGGCCGGGTCCTCAGAGACCACCGCAGGCCGCTGCTGGGCGCGCCATGGGAGTGCAGGGCACTCTGTGACCGCCGTGTCCCCCTTTTGGGGTACAGCGAGGCGTGCCCCTCTTGGCACCTGTACATACACCTTGAGGGCAGCCTTCTGGGCTGAGGCTCGTCTGGGGAAGTGCGAGCAGCCGCTAGACCACGTCTGACTCTGAGCCTCCCTCTTTCCTTGGTGCAGGAGTTCATGTACAAGTTCACGCGGAGGGAGCCCTGGATTGGCCTGCGCAGAGTGGGGGACGAATTCCATTGGGTCAACGGGGAACCGTTTGACCCGGACACGTGAGCTGAGGCTTCACCCTCCGGCTCGCCGAGTGGACCGGGGCTGGGCCCCGCCCCCGACACCTTCCGGGGAACCACTGGGGGTCGGGATAGAGCTAGAGCTCAGTTCAGCGGGCGCGGCAGACCTGTTCCCCGGCCCGGGAAGTCCAGCCTGGTTTGGGGGCCCTGGTCCATGTCCTCAAAGCTTCCAGGTCCCGGGCTATTTCCACCTGTCCGAGCAGTGGCCTGTCTGCACGGCTCTGTGTGGCTCGGCCACGGGGGGAAGGGGGAAAGGGAGTCCGCGCCCCGGGCGTCCCTCTGCGTTTGCCAGGATACGGCTACGTGACAACGCCGCAGGGAGTGTGGAGGGGACCCTCTATCCTGGGCAGCCACGTGGCACCTAAACACGAGACTGGAGGAGGGGGTCTGAGCCCTGGGTGCCGTGAGCGTTAGAGAAAACACCTCCTGGTGGTGTCGGTGGTGTGACGTGCGTGGGCCACGGTGTGGCAGTGACTGCGATGGCGGGGGGCGGGGGCAGGGGGCGGGAGTGTGGAGCCGGGGACTGGCCTGCAGTGTGGGCTGGCGGGGGCGGTGGTCCTGGGGAGGCGGTGCCCGGCTGTGGCGGTGGGCGGGCGCGGTGATGTGTGTGTGGTGCGGGGCGGGGCGCAGTCCAGGTTAGAGGAAGGCAGAGAAGACCGGGATCAGATCCTCGGCTTTGTGGCCAGACCCTGCGGCTGCACAACAAGGCCATGAGGAGGTGCCCGGGGCGCTGCTGCCCCCTGATGAGGACACGCCTGTCCCTAAGGCCCCCAAGTCCCCCAATTCTCCACGGTGGCCTGAAGCTGGTGATCAGCCACCTTCCCATGGAGGCTGATTCAACGTCCCCTCTGTCCCCAGCAGCTGCCGGGGGCCAAGCAGCCGGTTGACAGTGCCCCCTTCTCCTGTCTCCTCTCCGCCTTTGCCCCTCTTCCACATTCTCTCTCTCCCGCTCCTGCCCCCGTCTCAGATCAGTTCTTGGCACTGCTGAGGGAGTCTTGCACTTTCTGTCCCCTTAGTCCCCCTTTTGGGAGATTCCCGCTCTCAGAGCCAGGGACAGCCCTGGAGACGGGGGTCCCCATCATGCTGGCTACCAGTTTCCCTGACGCTGAGGGGGTCCTGCCCCCTGCACTCCCCCTCAGGGTCCTTAGGACGCTGGGTCTGAGATGCCAGTTCTGGCCTGGGCAGGGCGCTCAGATCAGGGTGAACAGAAGAAACCTTGAGACGCAGAAGGACTGACGTTAGGCAGGGAAAACCCTTTCCCCGCAGGCCCAGGAACGTCGGCCTTGATCTCCTGGGCCACACAGCCCCGGGCGAGAAACACTGGGGTCAACGGGCCCTCCCCTGCCCCATGAGGGCCTTGAATGCAGCGCGTCTTCTCTGGGCCTTTCCTGGGCCGGACCTTGTGCCATGGGGAGCCCAGTGTTCAGGAGCCAGCCGCCCTGGGGCCCGGGGGACAGACAGACACAGCACCCGCGGAGGGTGGGAGCCGTGGCCCACGGAGTAGGGAGGCAATGGGAAGCCCCGTCAGAAGAGCTTTGGGGCCGATGTCCTGGAAGGTGACCCAGAGGAGGCGGCATGGGGCCTCTAGCCGCCCGGGGCGGGCTGTGTGCCGGTGGTGAGTGCCTGGCCTCGTCTCTCCCGGCCACAGGTTCCACATCGCGGGCCTGGGGGAGTGCGTCTTCGTGGAGCCCACCAGGCTGGTGTCGACGGAGTGCCTGACGACCCGGCCCTGGGTGTGCAGCAAGATGGCCTACACGTGAGGTGGGTCAGGCCAGAGGCGGCCTCCCCACCCACCAGGCCAGACCCTCGGCCCCAGGCTCCTCTCCAAGGCGGAGCCGCGAGGAGGGTGGCCTCCGCCCTGGGCCCCTCTCCCAGGCCCATGTGCCTGGTCCCTGGTCTCCTTGGCCCCAGGCGGGTCCTGTGGCTCAGCAGTTGAATCGCACATGCTCAGTAGAGTAGGCGCCCATCCCCCGAAGGCACACACATGCACATGCAGGCACACAGGGTCCACAATGAGTCACCTAACAGGGCCTGGCCCCTCGCCCCCACCTGGTTCCATTCGGGAACATTCCTTCCTCACGCAGCCCAGGCACTGACGCACACTGTTACCGCTGGCACGCACAGCCCCCGCCACCCCCAGGTCATTTCTTTGCTGGTTGCTGGGGAGGCCGGGAGAGAGGGTGTCCCCTCCCCGGGGTCCCCCACGTCCACCCTCCTGGGGTTCTCAGGCCCTTGCTGTGTCTGAGGTGCCTTTGTGACGGTCACTGATGGAATAAAGAGATAACTGGCACCCAGAGAAGTCAGCTGCCATTTGTTCCAGGGTCGTGGCTCGGGGGAGGGGCAGAGGGGTGCGACTCCTAGTGCCCATCTGTGCGCGGCACTTGATCGAGCTTGGCAGGTGGCATTGTGTGGGAACAGAGGCAAAAACACCTTCCGTGGCCTCAGGGTACCATCTAACTGTGCTAGGCCCCTGAGTTCTAAGGTGTCTAGGTGGTGTGCTCCATCTGGCCCCTTCATTATGATTCAACTCAACCTACCAAACGTTTACTCACACCTGCCACGTGCCAGACACCATTCTAGGCATGGGGATCAACAGCTTCGTTCCCCAAGGAGCACACAGCAGAGGAGACAGCTTGGAAAGTACCAGAATGTTCTGGAACATAGTCCAGGGGTTGTTCCTTCTGCCTTAGAGGAGGATCTGCCGTGAGGAAGGGATGATGCTTATGTTGGGTGTGATGAGAATTTGCACAGGTCCTATGGCCCTTGGGCCCTTGGTCTGCCTGGGGAAGAAGAGAGGACATGGAGGGGGGATGGCCGTTCTCCTGGGCCTGCGGAGGCTCCAGTGCACCGCCCCCGTCAACACACGCACACCTGGAGCCGCAAAGCAGGTGGCAGGGGGACCAGGCCTCTGCAGCCTCTCGGAGCCCCTCTCGGAGCCCCTCTCGGTGCCCCTGGCTGGGGGTCACGCAGGCGGCCGGCCTGGGAGCTTCCTGTGTGAATTTGGGTCCTGGCCCATTTTCAGAAAATAGCTCTGAGGGAAACTAGGTCCAGCACTGCTCTGCTCAGTCCTTCACTGCTGGGTGTCAGACAAAACCGTCAACTTGGTTTTGTTGGCCTTTTTGCATGCTTTCTAGATTTTTAATAAAATATGCGTATTTTGGGGTTTTGTATTTTGTCTTTATTGAGGAGCCAGAGGGGGGCCTGGTGTCAGAGGGGTTCAGTGTGGTCGTGGGGGCCAGGGGTGGCAGGAAACCCCCGCCCCGCCCCCCCCCCCAGCACCTGGCGGGGCAGCGTGTGGAGGGGCTGCAGACTCAGGAAGGCATCAGCTGCCCTTGCTGTTTGGGGGCAGGGGTCCTCTCGCTCACGCCTGTTCTCAGTTACTCACAGGCTGGTGGCTCTTGCAGTGTCCTCTCAAAGACAGCCAGGCTCAACAGCCTTAGTGCCTTAGTGACTTGCTTTAACAGTGACACCTCATTTAATTCTCAAAGAAACACCCTGGGGCAGGCACTGCTCCAAACTTGACCCTGGCAGAGTCCCAAGGGCGGGAGGGGCAGTTGAAGGTACTCTGGCCCTGCCCTGGGGGTCAGACAGGAGGAGCCAGCAACAGGTGGGCTGCAAAGCAAGCAGGGTGACAGGGACACGACCGGAGGGTTTTGAGGCCCACTGGCGACTGAAGCTCTCCTGACCTTGGGTTGATCCTGGGACCACTTGACCATTTAAATCAGTTTAGTAAAAGAACCCTGACTAAACACAGGGCCACCAGTGTTGTAAGAGTTTTCCTACCTGGTTCCTGCAAGGGAAAGGAAACAAAACAAAACACCGGCACACCAGCCTCCAGAAACGTAGAAAATCCTTCCGAGAGTTAGAAACCAGCCCAGGGCCCTCACCTTCTCACGTGGGCCGCGGGCGCTGGGTTTGCTGGGCAGCGGAGCCCGGTGCTGTGCTCTCCACAGCCACAGGGGGGCAGCACCGAGTCAGTTCAGCTCGGATCCCTGGCTGCCGCTCACTCCGTGGGTGCATTTGAAATCAAAGCCCAGTCCTGCCCCAGGTGTAACCCTTGGAGCCCGCAGGGCGCCTGGGGAAGGATGGAGCATGCGCTCCAGACCACCCTCAGGCGTACTTTGTGAAGACGGAGATAACAGGAAGGACTTTTTAAGGAGGACACTTTAGGGTAGGAGCATCAAAGTGGGCACCATCTGCCCCTTCTTACAGAGGAGGAAACGGCCTGAGAGAGATTAGGGGACTTGCTCTATATCACACGACTTGGAGGTGGTGGAGGCAGGGCGTGAAGCCAGACCCCTCCCCACAGGGCTCTTGGGAAGACGCTTGTGTGGCTTGTGTGTCCTCTGAGCAGCTCTAAAGAAGTGGGGGGTGCCAGTGAGGAGAAGGAGCCACTCTGGGGAGGCCATCTGTGTGCCTGCAGGCGATCCTTTCTCTGGGGACTTTTACCTTCATGTGAAGGGCCCACAGGGAGGAGAGTAGGTGTCGCTCTTCATGACTTCTGTCTCTCTCCCCTCAGGGCCCAGCTCACGGCCTCCCTGGGGTGCCCCCTGGAGACCAGCAGCCCACAGTGACCGCCTCCCTTCCCCGGCACCTCCAGCACTTAACACGGAGCCTCTACACGGCCGGCCTGTCCTCTTGTCGTCTGTGACGCGTCTCTTCATGTCACCTGACTGCTCCTGTCATCTGAATATAAACCCCTGGGAAGCGGGGACTGTGCGTTTTTGGCCTCTTGGGTGCACATAGCACGCACTCAAAGATCCTTGTACATGACAATAAGATTGTACACGTTGACTGTTGGCCACAGTGGGAGAGACCGGTGGTCGCCATCTGCAGGAGACTTGTCTTTTTGGCCTGGATGGGCATGGCATGATTTTTAGAGGCACAGCAAAGACGAGGTCTTTAATTTGTCCTGCTTCAATTACATGAGCTCATGCACCCACTGGGTGGGCTGAGTGGGGGTGGCCCGGAAGTTCAGGGGTGATTAGGGAGCGCTGCCTCGGTCTCCAAGATGTCTTTTGCATCCTACACACAGCCCCGCTGGCGACGAGACCGCTGTGCAGGAGGGCCGGGGTCTGGGAGGGTTTTCCTCGGTGAATGACGCTGGCTGCGGAAGGTTCCTGTGATCCCCGGGAAATCAGGCCAGCGCCGCTGTGTTGTTCTGTGGCAGCCAGGACAGCAGGAGGGTGGAGGTGAACGAGGCAGCTGCCTCTGGCCCCTGCCTGGTCTGTAGTCAGCTCTAAGCGGGGAGTCAGCATGAGATGGAAGCCTCCTGCCACAGGCATCCGGCCCCCGCCACTCCTAACGCAGCCCGGGGTGGACACGCTCCGGGCCCGGCTCCGAAGGCCTGCCCTGGCCTAGCTGGGGGGCGGGCTCTTCCGATGAGCAGTGGCGTAGCTCAAGCCGCTATGCTAAACCTCTCTGACTCCTGGCTTCAACTCTAAAAAGTAGAAATTGTGCCTGCTCTGCTGACCTAACAGGGTTTGGAGAATTGTAGATGTTAGAATTTCAGGGGTTAGACATGTTCGACCCCATTCTCGCTATCCATGAGGCCCAGAGAGGTTAAGTAACATGTCCAAGGTCACACAGCTAGTGGCAGAACTAGAACTCAGGTCTTGAGGTTCTTCTATTTCCTGTTTATTCTCTTATTACTGCACATATCATGCTTTGTTTATTTGTTTCCTTGTTCACCATCCATGTGGAAATTAAGCTCCTAGAGGGCAGGGATCCCCTCGCACACTCTTTCTCTAGCGCCTAGTACATACAGAAGGTGCTCAATAAATGTGTATTGAACTAAACTGATCTCGACTCCTATTTCAAGAGCTCTTCCCTCTGCACTGTGCTTTCTCGGGTCCTGGAAATCTGCACTTCCAGCTCAGCTTCCCACAAACTATGAAAACTTTCAGATGTTTTCAAGAAAAAAAACAGGCAGGGTGCTCACCCCTCCTTGAGACATCCATTCCAGTCCGTAGTCTAGAGCACAGGGCCCATTTGAGCAAACGCGTACTCTTGTGAGACAAAAGTTGAATAACAACCATCAGCGCTAATTGAGAGCTCGTTCAGGCCAGGCACCGTGCAATGCATCTCAGCCGCGAAGGGCACGCCTTGCGCAGTGCCTGGCCCGTTGTAAGTGCTTAACGAGAAGCCGCATTCCCAGAGGCTTTATTTCTCACGCACGCAGTGTGCTGCGGATTCAGACCACGCTCCAGGGAACCTGCCCGCCACTCATTTCCTTAGCGTTGCAGGACGCTATCCTCCAAATCGACCAGTCACGACTTGAGGATCGGGGGTGGGGTGGGGAGAATACAGAGAAGCGTGCATTCCTTCTCATAACTCCGACCGGGGAGTGACTCATGTCACTTTCCCTTGCTTAAAGCAAGTCACTGAACACCTAACCTCAACGAGACCAGGAAATGCAATCCTTCCATGTGCCGGAAGGAAAAGAAAGTAAAAAGTCTTGGTGCGTGGCAGCCCTAGCTACGGCATCCTCTGAACCACATTCTCTGTGAACCCGGCATTTGAAGCCCTGGACGGGGCGAAGCGGTTCCCTTCATGGGCCTGCGCTGGTCGGCGCTGTGAGCCAGAATGAGATCTTGGCTTTGTTAAACCTCTGAAGTCTGGGCATCGTTCCAGAAGCCAGCGTACTCTAATACCCCGCTCAATCTACACTGGAGTTAAAGCTAAAGAAGATAATACTAGGATAGGCTAATTGCTGTCATAAACAACCCTAAAATTTCAGCGGCTTAAATATAATAGAAAGATTTATTTCTCGCTCTGTTGTGGTTTTGTCCAGCGTGGTTTTATCGGGAGACGCAAAGTCTCACTCAGCGACCTGAGTTTCTGCCACCGGTGGCCCTGCCATTCTCTAGGCCCTCAGGGTCCTTCATCAGACCTCCCACATCTGGTTAGAAATTGAAGGACAAGAGTGTGAATAGATATCAGAGCATTTTCTTAGGGGTCCGCGCTGGCCATATTTATCTGCAAAGAAATCTAGGAAAGATACTCTAGCTGTGTGCTGGAAGAAATGGTTTTGGGGAACATCCAGCCAGCCTTTGCCACATGTAACATTATCCCCATTTCACAGTTGAGAAAACTGAGGCTTGAGAGGTGAAGGGATTTCCCCGCTTTCACAGTTCAGTTCCTGGGACTGAGCCAGAATATGGCTGACGTCAAAGCTCTGCTCTGAATCACCCTGCCATCGGTGCTGCCTTCTCTGCTGGTGCCTCGCTGGCCCGGGACAGTCTTCCCCCTCAGAAGGGCTTCCTCCAAACACCCACACTTCCCTCTGGTTCTGGCCTTTTAATCACCCACGGACAATTTATTCTCTTCTAAGCAGCCCCATCTGCGGGCTTAGCCTGCAATGGATAAAGATTCTGAGAGAGCCGGTGCAATAAAATGTGCAAAGACATTGAAACAGAACATAAACAGAGATGAAAGTAGCTGTCCAGTGGTTTCTTTACAAAGGGACCTGTAGTCCAGCGTCGTTTCAGTAGCGCTGCTGAATTGTTTGAGTAGAAGGGACTGTGTGCTGCTTGCAGATCAGCATTTAACAACGGGAATTAGGTAGTCTCTTTTTAAAAAAGATTTTATTTTTAGAGAGAGGGGAAGGGAGGAAGAAAGGAGAGGAACATTGATGTGCAAAGAACATCATTCGGTTGCCTCTTGCACGCCCTCTACTGGGGACCACAAGCCAGGCATTGACAGGGACTGAAACCCGGCGACCTCTAGGTTTGCAGGCCTGGGCTCAATCCACTGAGCCACACCAGCCAGGCGGCAGGGTGAGATAGTCTGCAGGGGCCAGGACTGCCTGGCTCCTGGGTCTGCTTCTTCCCTGTAGAGTGAGCAGTAGTAGTGCTGCTGGCCACTGGGTTTCTCCATCTTCAAGCAGAGCCACACAAGGTAAGGGGAGCTGAGGAGGAAATAAATCTCCTAAGAGGAAGTTTGGGTGGTGGTGGTTGTGGGGGGGACACAGTGGCTGCTGCAGGAGGGTCCAAGGTGACTTTTTTTAAAAAAAACCTTCAACTGAGGACATTCTTTTCATGGCTGAGAGAGAGAGAGAGAGAGAGAGAGAGAGAGAGAAACGTTGATGTTAGAGACTAGGGACTGAACTCAAAACAGGCATGTGCTCTGACCGGGAATGGAACCCACAACCTTAATGGTGCTCCAACCAAGTGAGCTGGTCAGGGCCCAAGGTACCTTCTTTAAAGCTGCGCACAGGCGGATGAGAAGGACCCAACGTGCAAGTGAAGAGGTCACGAGGCCACCCAGCCCATTTGTGTTTCATTTACACTTTGCTCTTAGTGTAGCCTCTGCTTTTACATGCATTTAATATTTCCTCAAGCTTAGCTATTATTCTAGGGAAGAGTTAGACAATATGTAAATCAGACTCACACACACACATACACCTGGCTGTTTGGAACAGGCTCCTGGGCATGACCTTCACCACCCAGAAAAACACGCCCCCAGAACCAGGGGAGCGTGGCGATGCGGGAACATGCCCCGGAAGGCCGAAGCCCCAGCGAGCAGGCCGGAGCTGGCCAGCGGGCCGCAGGGCGAGAGCTCCATCTCATTGCGGTCGCCCTCCGCTAGGGGGCGCCTTAGCTCAGCTGGGAACGGGACTTGGGGGATGTAGAATCTGCTTACTGCTCATCAGCTCCAGAGCGCAACTAAGACTACTGAAGATTTGGTATCCCCCAGGATCAAATGTGCTTGAGGAAGCATGTTGACAGAGCTAGTTTGTATTTTCAGTTAAATTTAAAGGCGCTTCCAAAGACACGGACGGTGAGGGCCTCCTGCACAGCTGCCCCGTGTGCTGCGGCGCGCCCACTTGCATTTCGCGGGTGGAGCCGGTCTGCCTCTCTCCGTCTCCTGGCCCGGGACCCCCAGGAGTGCGTTCATCACTTAAAATCGAGTATGACAGAAGAGTTTTGTCCAAATCTTGAGCACAAATTTTTATGTAACTTGAATTTTGGCTGAGTTGAATTTAATCCAAATTGAAGTATGGCCTGCATTTTGGATTTCACGGGTGTTACCTGAATTCCGGCGTTGCTCGGGCGATGAAAATGGGCTGAGTAGTTTCTTCACTTACCCAAATATTTGTTGACCATCCACTCTGAGCCTGGCATTGCGACAGAGGCCCTAGAAACCGAGACGAAAGAAAAAATCCTTACCTGCGAGGACTTTGTGGTCTTGTGGGGAAGGAAAATTTGGAGAGAAATTTGACAGTGTGGCATAATGACCATTACGCCCACGGGGTTGGGAACCTAGACAGAGGACACCTACCTCACCAGGAGCGAGAGGGTAGGGTTCCCGGAGAGATGACTGGCAGGTTCTTGAGGATTGCAATAAGCCTGAGAAAGCCTGAGGGTCCGCAGTGGGGAGAGGAGGCTCTGGAGGGGGAGGGAGGGACGAGGTGGGCGCGGGTGCTTCTTCCTGAGGCCGGAGGGAGGGAGAGACGAGCGAGCGAGGAAGACAGAACTGAGCGATGGGCCTGAGGGGGTAGGGGCGCTGCAGCCCGATTGCTCTGATCACTCCAGTGCACGTGAGAGCAGGGGGCTTGCAGAGAGAGGCGAGGGCGGCAGAGAGCCGCCGAGGGAGCCGAGAGGCACCGCAGCGGGCCCAGGTTCACGGGAGGCCCGGCCAAGAGCTCCGGGCCCTGGGTGCGGGAGCCGAGACGCAGGTGGTTGAACCGGTCCGCGGCAAGTGGGTGCGGCAGGGGGCGGAGGGTGCAGGCGAGCAGGCGGGTGCGCTTTAGGCTGGCCGGGGAGCGTGTGAGGCCAGGAGGCACGGCAAAAGGAGGCCCCAGGACTCGGCAGCAGAAACCAGGGTGAGTGTCGGGGGAGGAGCCGTGCGCGCTGCCCTGGGAACGGCACAGGGGCGGCCCCTGGGGGAAAGTTTGGCGGCTCCTCAGAAAGGTAAGAATGGCCATAGGATCCGGCAACTCCACTCTTGAGTGTGTATCCAAAAAAAGAAAAAAAAAAAGAAAAAAAAATATCGAAAGCAAGGACTCGGATACTTGAAGGCTAGTGTTCATAGCAGCGCTACTCAACACAAGCCGGAAGGTGGAAACGACTCCCTTATCCATCAAGAGATGAGCGGATAAACAAAGTGCGGCCTATGCATGCAACGGAGTGTCCTTCCATCTTACAAAGGAAATTCGGACACACAGATGGACGTTGAGAACACTTTTAAGTGAGATAAGCCAAAAAATGGCAAATAGTGTATGATTCCTCTCACATGAAGTAGTCAGAACAGGCTAATTCAGAGCCAGAAGGTTAGAGAGCTGTTTGCCAAGGGCTGGGATTGGGGAGTTACTGTTTAATGGGTACAGAGTTTCTGTTTGGGATGAAGAAAGTTCTAGAAACAGCTGATGGTCTCCCTCCACTGTGAGTGTATCAATGCCACTAATAGCGTATTTTAAAATGGTTAGAATGACAAATGCTACGTTATGTAC